CTGATCGCTCTCCACCGTTCCCCAGCTACTTCCGTCGGAAGCCTGAGGCTTCCGGCTTTCCCCAGCCATTTTTTTTTAACTTAGCGATATGCACTCGGGCGAAGCTTCTCCATGAGCATTTGTTAAAATAATTTTTAAAAGCCCTTACTTTAAGTACCCGGAGGAGTCCGGGACTACAGGGAGGCCAGGTTGGGCTTTAAACTTTAAAGGTAAGTCCTTACCTTTAAAGTTTAAATGTAATGGGGAGGGTTGAGCATGCGCAAAGATCGCCATTCTGTGAATGGCTGCCTATGCGCATGCTCAAACTGTGCTTAAAAAAAAAACCGCCGACGCCCGCAGCGTGTGAGCAGGCGTCCAACGGAGGGATTCCAACCGGTGCAGTTTATGCTGGCAGAAACGCCCCGTCTGAACGCACCCACTGTGAAGGGGGGGGGGAACAATGGCACAGGGTCGGGAATGCCTGATCAGACCATCCCGATGCCATGAGAGCGCGCTGGAGCAATCTGAGAGGGGAAAGTCCATCCGTGGCCCATCGCAACCCATTTACTACCGAATTTCCCCCCCGGTGTCTATTAACTCTGCTTCTGTGGCAGAGCAGAATGGGTTGCTGACATCTGCAGGATGCTTCCCAGATGTTGTTGTCTGATCATGCCTTTTAAATCCATCCAGTATTTGCGCCTATGTCGGGTCTAACTGTCCGTATGATCGCAGCCCTGGAACAAGTAAAGCTACAAGCCGCATGGGATTCTTTCTTTTCATCCCCATTGGTACAGTAAAGAACTCTTTAGGGGTGCATACTGATGACCTTGTATGATTTCCATTGCCAGTTTGGTAAGTTCCTGGAGATTTCAGGTGGATCCTGGGGAAGGTGGGGTTTGGGGGAAGGGGTGGAGCTCAACAAAGCCAATGAGAACACTTCTCATTTGACGGAATTGAAAGGGTAGGATGCCACCATTACTATGTCGAGTCACTTCATACTACAGCACTTGCTGAGTATCAGTTAACTCAGCATGGGAACATCGGCCCCAGTCACATGGGCCAGATAACATGGGTGGGGGAAGGCGTGGCTGTTTGCCCCATAACAAAATTAAGCGCGGTAGCCCAATCACACGGTCCCCTGCGTTTTTGCGCTTAGGCTGTTAGCTGGTGATCACACGGCGATGCTGGAGCGTGGCAATGAATCGGCATGGCAAGCGTTTTGCGTTTGTGTGTATGTGCAGTTTCACGGAACAGCACTGCTGTCAGTTATGTGTTTGTGCGCATGGGCTTACGAAAAACATCTGCTTTGCGATGGGATGTGGATGGGCGGCGGATGCCACGGGATACTAGCGCTCCCACGATCAGGTGCCTGTCCCTGCCCTGCATTTTCCAGATACTAGTGCACTTTCCAAGGTAGTTTTTTACTGCGCATCTTCGGCAGGATGCCACAGGTTGGCCACGGGTGCACTACGCTTCCCAGATGTTGCGGTGTGATCGCGCCCCAAAAATCCATTTGACATTCATGCCTTTAGCGCGGCAAATCCTACATGTGAACGGGGCCACAGATCAACATCCTCCCATTTTTTCACACTCCGTTTCACCCAGCCTGCTTTAGCAGCCAGCTCTAATGCTGATGACACCAATGCGGAAACATTTCCTGTTATCTGCAATGAGCTTGGAGCCCTGGAATGTTCCTATCCAATCCCCTATGGCACCTTCACATGAACAGGATTTGGGAGAGCCAAATTCCAATCCCCAATCTTCCCAGAAGCTCACTATGTGATCTTGTCCCAGTCATTCTCTCTCGGGCAGCCTAACCTACTGTTATGAAGAAGAAGAAAATGAGGAGGAAGAGGAGGAAGAGATTGGATTTCTACCCCGCCCTTCACTTCCTGAAGGAGTCTCAGAGTGGCTTACAATTTCCTTTCCCTTCCCCTCCCCACAACAGACATCCTGTGAGGTAGGTGGGGCTGAGAGAGCTCTTTCGAGGACTGCTTGTGAGAGAACAGCTCTGAAAGAACTTGTAACTGACCCAAGGTCGCACCAGCAGCCGCATGTGGAGATATGCTACAGGAGAGTAAAAGGGGTATATTGATAGTGGAACTCCTCCTAGTGAAGATTGTTCCTGTGGCCCAACTCTGCCTTATGTATGACAGTGGGCGCGTGAGTTCTTTTACCCGTGTATCCAGAGCGCAGATTCAGAATGGACTCTCCTATTTCCCAAGAAGCGAGACAACACACTGATGTTTAATGAATAAATGTTGTCTAAATATAGGCCCCGGTCACACGGGCATGAAACTGCAGAGGAGAAGCGTGGCTGTTTGCCCTGGGGCAAACTACTGCGCAGTTACGTGATCAGACCTCCTGTGGAGGTCCTGTGGAGGTACCGTGGAGGTTCCATGGCAAGGGAGAGGTGCCGATCACAGGACAAGCCGGTGCACAACGAAGAAGCGTGCGCCGCGGCAAACTGTTTTTTATTTTTGTGTACATGACAAATGCGCATGCTCTGTTGGGTGCGCATGCGCATCCACAGAGACTTGGACAAAAAAACCACACCTTATTTGCAAGGGGACATGGGCGGGCGCCGGATGCGACCGGAAACGCGATCAGACGCCCGCCCTTGCCCCGCAGTTTCCGGAAACTAGTACCTCCAAGGTACTAGTTTTTTGCCACGCAGTTTCGGCTGGAAGCCTCGGTTGAGCCACAGGAGTGCTACGCTTCCCAGATGTGCTGGTGAGATCGCGCCCGGAAACTCCGGCTGTTTTCCGTCTCACTTGTGTGGCTTCTGTTACGTGTGACCGCAGCCATAGTTGATTTCTCAAGCACACAGAACAGATGCGTTCACACATACACTCAAGTTTCCTTTAGTTACAGCAAGTATAGAAAGCATTCAGTAGGAAAAATAATAAAACTCTTGACTAACAAGGAGGTAACACACTGAAGGATACGGTTGATACTTATCTGATCCATGCAGAAGGAATTCTTCTCAGTGGGGAAAACAGGAACAAAAAGATCTCACTAGAGGGATTCCACGCCACACTGATGGACCCAGGCCACTACGTGTGGGCTTCTTGGTTGCGCGTTTTCAAGAAGGCTACGTGAGAATTGCCTCTTAGCAGAGCTTTTCTAAAAGAGGGAGGGGGGGTTCTAGCTAGCTTTGGCTGCTAGCTGGCGCAGCTTAAGTTACTGAAAAGGTGGGGTGGGGGAAAGGCTAGCTAACTCTCTCGACAAAGGACAAAGGTGTGCAACGCCTTTTAAAACCTGCCTTAGGGCTGGCCCTGAGTGCCAACCTCCTGTTCTGGGATCCGTCCCCTTCCCTATGTCTATTGGTCATTGGGGCGGTGACGTCTATCTGGAGGGAGTGGGGCAATATTCAAATTCTACCCTACACTTCAATGGGAGCCATGTAGCAAGGTGTCAAAGTTGTATTGCTATAGTAACCTTTGACTTGCAGATGCTGGCCTGGTCCAAGAAGGCAATAACAGGATGTTGTCCTTTGTGATTCCAAACCAGATACGAGGGGTTACATGTTATCCAGAAGATCTTTAATGGTGGGCGAGTTGTTGTTTCCAAGACTCCATGTGGCTGAGCTTAATGGAGAATGTCTTCTTTGTCCCAAGGCATGATGGGAAGGTTTGGGTGTGAGTGCGTGTATCCATTAGCATACCTATGCAGGCAAGCAGGCCCTGCACATAGCAGCTTCTAGGTGCAAGCAAGCAAAGCAAGCAGACTGCAAAGCACACAGCGTTTCCCAAATCCCATACACACAAATGCAGAGACATCACAGACATACAAGCATCAGCATATAACAAATAAAATACATTTTAGGCACACTTGCCAACAATATGACACCCAAAGCTTCTCGGAAGAAGAAAAAGATAAAATACTTTAAATTAAACCGTGCTTTAGTATAACATATTATTCTAGGATTTGACTTGGACAGCTGGGAAGACTGACAAGTACAATAAGCATATAAACCTCCGTAAAGATGTCAAGAAATCAGAGTGCTCCCCAGGAAGAGAAGCAGAGACAAGGCGGGGGAAGGCAGGAATCTGAGAGAAAGGAAACGGGGCAGGGAAGCAAGCTGCATATGGTCATTTCTCAAATTTATTTATTTCTCAAATTTTTACCCCACCCTCCCAGCCAAGGCCGGCTCAGCGCGGCTTACACAAAATCAGCATATATTTGCAATAAAACAATTAAAACATTTAAAACAATACTCAAACTAGTTAACAATAACACAGTAGGTGCTAGTATTGTTGTTGCTGGATCAACGATGGCTACCATATTAGCTCTTTCTTCCCATAACCGGCTCCTAGATCTACTTCAGGTGTCTTCCAGGTGGTTGGCACAAGCTGATGATATAAAGTCCAGAGACAGCAGGGCTTCCTATCCCTCAACAACTAGTTGTTAATGAAGTTGAATGGTGGTAGCACCACAGCAGCAAAGTCCTCAATGATATGCAGAGGGGGCCTCAGTCAAGTTATTTTTTGTTGTTCAGTCGCACAGTCGAATCCGACTCTTCACGACCCCATGGACCAATGTTCCCTCTAAGCCGTGAAGTCTTGTGAGCAAAAAGTTCTACTTTGTGAGCTCCTGGCATTCAAGTTGTGAGCGAGCGATTTGGCTGCTGCATGAATCAGTTTGCTCTGGAGCCATCCTTTCTGAGCTGAGACAAAAACGTGTGAGCCAGAGGCTAAAAAACTATGAGCTAGCTCACACTAACTCAGCTTAGAGGGAACCCTGCCATGGACCAGGTCACACCAGGCTCTCCTGTCTTCTGCTGTCCTCTGAAGTTTGCTCAATTTCATGTTCATTTTATCTATGACACTGTCTAACCAACTCATAAAGCTGGTCAGTGTTAAAGGCAAGTAGACATAATGGATGAACCTAGTCCTTCTGATTGAAAAGAAAGCAGGGGTGGGAGGAGCCAAGGAAGAGTGAACTGCAGGTGTGACACTCAAACAAACTAGCTGAATTGATGTAATGTTTTCTCTTGTCTCTTTTGAAACAAATGGCAGCTGGCCAAACAACATGGAAACATTTACACCTTGTGGCTGGGACCCGTACCTATAGTTGTCCTGTCTGGGTATGAAGCAGTGAAAGAAGGGCTGATAAACCATTCAGACGACTTTGCTGATCGGCCAGTGACCCCAGTGATGAAAGCTATAGGAAAGGAACGGGGTAAGTTGTTGGCCAGAGACACCTTTTCCCGAAAGCCATAGCAAAAGGATGGGGTGAGTTGTTGGGGAAAGTAGGAACTAGGGAAAGGAGAAGATTGCCTCTGCAGGTACGAGGTACAAGAGAGAGCAAAGGAAGAAGAAGAAGAGCAGAAGAGATTGGATTTATAACCCACACATCTCTCGGTGTCTCCTTGTGAGGTAGGTGGGGCCGAGAGAGTTCTTTCGCAGACTGCTCTTGAGAGAACAGCTCTGAGAGGACTTGCGACTGACCAAGGTCACACCAGCAGCTGAATGTGGAGGAGTGGGGACTCAAACCCGATTCTCACAGATTAGAGTGTGCACTCTTAACCACTACCCCAAACTGGCCCTGAATATTTCAGTCAGTTTTAGATTTCTCTGTCTGATGAAAAACGGAAACAGAAATTGTTCTGCATTTACTAGCTTAGGGCGATTCGGCATTGGTCTTTCCCTCCGTTGTCTTACGAAACCCAAGTTGGAACAGAAATTCCCCTCTGCATCACATGCTGCTTTCACTGTCTTTGATCATCGGATTTTATGATTCCCTCTACCAGTGTTCCCTCTAAGCTGTGGAGTTTTGTGAGCAAAAGTTCTACTTTGTGAGCTATTGGCATTGAAGCTGTGAGCAAGTGATTTGGCTAATGCATAAATTAGTGTGCTCTGGAAGCATCCCTTCCTGAGCTAAGACAAAAACGTGTGAGCCAGAGGATAAAAAACTGTGAGCTAGCTCACACTCACTCAGCTTAGAGGGAACACTGCCCTCTACATCGCATGCCACTTTCACTTTCTTTGATTAATTGATTTTATGCATAGATTTATGGCCATTCAGGGGTGACTTTGCAGTCCGGCATTGCCCCGAGGTATTTGAATGTGGTTTCGAGGTGCACTTTTCCCTCCCAGTTGAGAAAATGTGGACCGTATGCTAGATGCAGAATCGCCCTTAGTCATTTGGCACTGCCACATAACTGGTTGTTACTGTTTTAGGGTTGCCAAAACCGGTACCCACCATCCTGTGTTCTTTTTAATCAGCTCTGGGAGAATTAAGACCTGGTGCTATACCAGGCTTCAGGGTGTCGATAAGCTGTTGCTCCTTGGAGTTATCTACTGGGGGCCAGTTTGGAAGATCGTCCATTTCCCTGGAATTAAAGGCTGCGTTCAGACTGGCAGTTTGGCCTGACAGCCAAATGTTTCAGGAGCATTTCATTAGCGGATTAAAGGGGCGGGTTCACACAGGCACAGCTGTCCGGCGTCCCCCAGCTGTACTCAAGCCGTCTTGTACTGCTTCCCTCCCGAGTTTTAAAAGTACCTGATGTAAGTGGTAGCAAACTGTGTGGAGAGCGGGTTGATTCCGGTTCCCTGACATGTGAACGCAAGCGCTGCTAAGGCGGGAACAACCCGCAGTCATTGATAATAGGCGCTGGCTGTTTCCGCAGCAGGTGCCCATGCACCCATGTGCATAGGCACATGCAGCAGAGCACAGAAACAGCCGTTAACAGCCCGCCAGGGGTGGGCCAACAGTGTGAACACTCCCTTGCACTTCCTCCACGGTATCCTCCCGCTTAATTTGCCACAGTGTGAATGGGAATACTGCGACCAAACCATTCCGGGTCTGTTCCAGGTCTTCTTTGACGCAACTCCCTAGCACTGCAAACTGCCAGTCTGAACGCGGCCAGAAGGTCTTATTATTTCCTTATACAGATTCCTAAAGTGAATTTCCCAGGTTCCAGAAGAGATAGGATTGCACAAAATATTTATAGGCCTCTCTGAAAGACCGGAGACCAGTCTCCATGCTGAGTTCTTTTCCTTTACTGCCTTACTAAGATCCTCCCAAGACAGTCTGACATCTTCCTGTTTCTTCTTTTTGATAAGAGCCTTATAGTGGGCTTTTAGACATTTGAAAGTTGTTAGAGATACTGCCCCTGGATTGCATCTGTATCATGCATAGTTTCTGTTAAAAAGTTTCTTTGCATTCCTGAAAAAAATCCTGCATTCTGTATCGAACCATGGTTTATGAAAATCTGGCCCAGACCTTGTTGTTGTTGTTCAGTCGCAGAGTCGAGTCCGACTCTTCGCGACCCCATGGATCATCTCCCGCCAGGCCCTCCTGTCTTCCGCCGTCCTCTGAAGTTGGCTCAATTTCATGTTCGTTGCACCGATGACACTGTCTAACCATCTCATCCTTTGCCGTCCCCGTCTTCTTTGACCTTCAATCTTTCCCAGCATCAGGGTCTTCTCCAGTGAGTGCTCCCTTCTCATTGGGTGGCCAAAGTATTTGAGCTTCAGTTTCATTATCTGGCCTTCCAGGGAACAGTCAGGGTTGATTACTTTTAGGATTGACTGATTTGATCTTCTTGCAGTCCAAGGGGCTCTCAAGAGTCTTCTCCAGCACCATAGTTCAAAAGAATCTATTCTTCGGCGCTCGGCCTTCCTTAGGTGCCTCATATTGGAGCCTTTCAGAATGAGCGTTATAAACTATACCATGGTCTTGTAAGAGGTAGTCCAATATAGAGAATGTTTTGAGGTTGCCCCATTTTGTGAAAGTGATCACTGTCGGAGTCCCGCAGCAATCACTTCCCAACAACTCCCATCCAGAAAATGAAGTTTATTGAGTACAGTAAAGGCAGGTAATCTGTGCATACATCGTGTGTTAGAACTGATAGCAAGCATGCGAAATGAAGAGTTATACCTAATTCAAAGGGGTCCCCTGATAGACTAGGGCCAATCAGGGAATAAGCGAAGTCAGTTGTAATAATAAACACCTTAGTAATATTTTCCATTGGGATGGGGAAGACCAAACCCCTTTCCCTTTCCTTTTGCCTAGGCAGTCTAGAGACTCAGTTGTTAATCAGGCTGGTCACAGGCTGATAGACCTATGTATTCAAAATAACCTTTCTATACTTAATGGTTCCTTTCAGTATGATACACCTGGTAACTATACCTTTATTTCCCCCAGGGGATGCAGTGTTGTGGACTATGCAGTATCCTCTATGGATCTGAGAGACTGTATTACTGACTTTTCCGTTGGCTCCGGGACCGAAAGTGATCACCTTCCCATTCTATTGTCCCTTCAATCTGGTTGTGTTCTAGATAACCAGTGCCCACCTTGTAATTCTAAACTCAACTTATTCCAGCATAAAAAAAATAAGCTGCTCTGCATTGTCTCTGGTGCAGATTTGCTCCTGGATGTCTAGCTCACAGGGCTTTGAACTAAAGTGCAATCTTACTAATGCTAGTTCAATGGAAGATGCACCTATAGCTTATAACTTTATAATTGATAACCTCTCCTCCTATGCTAAATCAATCGAACCCAATACTCACAATGACTCCCTTAATTCCTGGTTTGACACAGAGTGCTGGCTTATTAAAAGTAAATTAAGCCAGTTTTTTCGACAGATACGGAGGGGTTCTTGCCCATGGATCCCCTCCTTATACTACAAGCTTAAAAGAGAATGTGGTTTATTATTGGCTCAAAAAAAGCACTTAGACGGAATCCCAGCCAAGATTTTAAAGGACAACATCGATTGGTGGTCGCATTCTTTAGCTCATCTTTTCACTTTGATCGATAAGTATGGTGTTCTACCTGACTCCTGGCTGAACTCTATAATAGTTTTCTGCTTTAAAAAAGGTGACCCTAATAACATAGATAATTATAGACCTATTAGTTTGCTTTCCATTTTAGGGAAGCTCTATGCCAAACATCTTCTCAATAAATTATCTAAATGGATGGTCGATCATAAACTTCCAGGAAAAGAGCAAATTGGGTGCACGGCTAACCACTCTACCTTAGACCACTGTACTACCTTAGCCTTTTTAGCTGAAAAGTATTCCCATCACTTAGGTGGCAAACTATACTTAACTTTTATCGACCTATGCAAAGCCTTTGATTCAGTTAATAGATCCTTGCTATGGGATAAACTATATAGTTTGGGATTGGATCAACGTAAATCCGTAAATCCGTAAATTATATTTGGCTAACTATTGCCAGATTCGATTTGATAGGAAGGGTCTCTTACTCAGAAAATTCCTGTGAATAAGGTGGTTAAACAAGGATGTGTACTTGCCCCTTCCCTTTTCAACCTTTTTATTTCTGACCTCCCACAGTGCCTAGCTAAAATTGATGGTCATTCCCCCAAATTGAACTCCTCTGCAGTTCCCATTTTACTTTATGCAGATGATGTGGCCATTCTTTCTTTTACTAGGATTGGACTTATGCGCCTTTTATTAGAGTTTAACTCTTATTGTAGTCGGAATTCTCTTTCTATTAATTTTGATAAAACAAAAATATTGGTCTTTTCCAAAGCCTGGAAGTGTAATCAGTGGAGAATAGAAAGAAAAGAAATAGAACAGGTTAAATAATTTAGATATTTAGGGGTTTTGTTTCATTACAATGTAAGTTAGTGCCCTCATAGAGATCATTCCCTCAGTCTTGCTAGGAATAAGATTGCAGCTTTATCTCGTTTCTTTTATTTAAAAGGTAATCAATTTGTCCCGGCAGCTCTCCAGATTTTTCAGACGTATGTTATCTCTCATTTGCTGTATGGGGTACCTATATGGATCCAAAATTTTAATTAAAAAGTAGAGCTTATAAGTGCTACCTTCTTCCATAGGATTTTAGGTTTTCCTAACTCTGTTTCTTATTTTTCTCTTTGTGAGGAGTTAGGTGCCCACCTTATTGAATCTCGGGCATGGATCACCACTATTAAATATTGGTTGCATTTTCACTTTAGTTCTCCCCCTAACAGCCTTATTGCTCAACTTCTTGCAGACCCATATATTTCTACTTGGTCACAAATTATAGTGGAGAAAATCAAAACCATGGGAATTGATTTGGCCTCCCTGTACAATTGTGGTGAAACAGCTATTTTGCAGGTGGTACGGAGGAGGATTTCGGATATGGAAGCCCAAACAATTAATGCTGGGAGCTATGGAGTCTGTTCTCCACACTCCCTTGACCTCCCCCCCCCCCAAGCCTCTATGGCTCTG